TTTGTATATATACATACCCACACACATTTGTGTACATACACACTCACACACATTCAGACATACTCACATGCATTTGTGTACACACACTCACACACATCTGTACACACTTCTGTAATGCCTAGGTATCAGTACTTGGAGAAACACACATTTCCATGGGCACTGAAATCTCTGATTTCATTCCCCTCTTGGTTTCTGGCTCGGAATCTGCACTATCATCTGCCATGAACGAGTGTTAGTTTCCAAATAAGAAAATACAGCTTGCTTTTTGATATATCTTTAAGTTCACGATGCCCACGAGGCATCATAAGAAAAGGTTCGTGAAGGCAAGCTCTTCTGCTTCCTCACACGTGTGAAAAGATGGGGACCATCACGGGTATTTTATTTTCTGGCGTGTTCAAGGTGGCAATTATTCTCTTCTGAATTCTCAGACAGTAATTGGTTCTCTCAGTCGCTCCGTCAGTAGCTTAACACCTATGGCTCTGACTGGAATGACTGCCAATCATTTGCCCAAAGTGACAGTTTTCGGCTCTTTGAAAGAAGTCTAAGGAAACTTGAGCCTTGAAGTTCAGAAAGCAAGGCTGCAGTCTCTGGTGTGGAGACAAAGAACACCGTACTTTGCACTGAGGTACTTGAAATTGAAGGTGTTTTCTTTGGTGGAGAATATCAGGATCCTTCTGGGTGGGCAAACATGGCAGACGTCTTCTGCTTCATCACCAGTCCGTGTGGAGAAGAGCCCGGTACACTTCCTGAGAAGTTCCTATGCCCTGTTTTGCTTTGCCAGAGAAGATGCCCAGAAATTTACTGCAAACAAAAATGCCAGACTCACTTCCTCAAGTCCAAAGGAAAGGGGCTTGGCTGCCCAATGTTTTATATTTCCCTCGAAGCTTTCTCTTCTTTTGAGTTTTAATTTTTGTCCTTGCATGTGTGTGTATGGTGTATTATGTGTAGGGACACACACATGGATAGAGAGTACATGTGCACATATGTGTATGCATGTGTGTGGTGATTTTTTGTTTGTGATCTAAGCTTGCCTGAAGATAAGAGTGCAGAGCTAAGCCACTAGTTAGCCATAGAGGCCAGGAAGTGGTAGCACACACCTTTAATCCCAGTGCTCAGGAGGTAGAAACAGACTGATTTCTGTGAGTTCAAGGCTACCCTTGGCTACACTAAATTAATCCAGTATAAAAGAGAAACAGAGCCAAGAGATGGTGGCCCATACCTTTAGTCCTAGTACTTGGGAGTCACATGCCTTTAATCCCAGCACTAGGGAGGTGGAGACAGGAGTGATTGGCTGGTCAGAGAAAGGAATATATGGCTTGGCTGGAAGAGACAGGAGCTCACAGTTTGAAGATTGGTAGAGATAGGATAGCCCCTTTGGTCTGATGACTCAGTAGAGGTAAGAACTAGTGGCTGGGTGCTCTGCTTCTCTGATCTTTCAGCATTTACCCTGATATCTGACTCTGGGTTTTCATTATTAAGACCAATTAGATTCATGCTACATGTGTGTGCCCAGATTTGATGTCCAGTGTCTTTCTCCATTGCTTTCCATCCTATTCATTGAGGCAGCGCCTACCAATTGGACCCGGATCTCACCAATTGGCTGGCTTGATTGCCCTTGCCAGCTTGCCAGGAGAATCTCATGTCTCTACAGATAGACTGCCACACTTGCCCAGCACTTACATGGGTGCTGTGGATCCAAACTCTGGTCCCCATTCTTATAGCAAAAGCTTTGTTCACTGAGCCATCTTCTTAGCACTAAAATTTTGAATGTATAAATTTCCATGGAGGCCTAAAGGAACCTGTAGGAAGAGACATTAGGACTGCGCCACTAGCCATGCCCATTTTGGGCGTGGCTAGAGGCACATACGAATGTGGTAATAAAAGGCAGTGAACTGCGCCGCTAACCACACCCACTTTGGGTGTGGATAGAGGTGGGTACAGAGGTGATAATAAAGGGCGGTGCAGGAGAGAGGCACTTTTAGGCTTCCTGTCCTGCAGCAGAAAGCTGCTGATTCACCTTGGTTGCCCGTTTTCGCGTGTAAGTAATTGCCACAATAAGTAGTTATCCATACCCTCCTCAAGTGTGCCGTTTATCTTTACAGGCACCCATTTGTCCCATATGAACAAAGATCTTCCCTCTTGAAGCCTGCTGGGTTTCCATTCAAGCTGTCCCAACCACACGGGCTTCATTTCCTAGCATATGACACTAGCACTCCATATAGAACACTCTTCAGATGTCACCTTCGTGGCTGGGATAGGCCAGTGTCTGGTTGCTGCCTTATGACTCAGGAGAGATGGTCAACTGAATAAGGTGGACAGAACTTTATGTCTGGCTTTGTCTTGTTCTAACTAAATACCCCTATCTGGCTAATATAAAAAGAAAGAAGTATGAGGACTTGATGCAGACCCCTGCAAGGGCTTTTCTGCTGTGTCATAACTCGGTGAACACACTTCATGCTGAGATAGAGCAAGCTGATAGAACCCTGGGATGACCTGAAACAGGCATTCAGGAAGCGCAAGTATAATCTTTTGTGGGGAGAAATATGACATTTTAGTTCACCAAAATCCCCAATTCCAACTTTTCCTTGAGCCATTTGGAACTTGGGTAGTAATGGCTAGTGTTGACTGTCAACTTGACAGAATCTAGAATCACCCGAGAGCCGTGTCTCCAGGCACGCCTGTGGGTAGTCGTCTTGACTACACTAATTGAAATGGGAAGATCTGCCCACTGTGAGTGGCACCATTCCCTTGGCTGGGATCCTGGACTGTGTGGATGGAGAAAGGGAGCTGAGCAGCAGTCATCACTCTCCACTTCCTGATCAAGCTCCTGCCACCTTGATTTCCATGACTACCATGATGGATCCCAGCACCCAGGAGGCAAACACGTGGTTCTTCTCTATGGACAAGCTAGCTAGCCAGATGAGCCGACTGGTGACTGGTTTAGTTCATAGACCCTAGCTCAGTGAATAAAGTGGACAGCAATGGAAGACACTGGATATAAACTGGGGCCTTGGATTGAAACAAAATGAACTTTTTCTTCCGGAAGCTGATTTCGTCAGGGTATTTTATCACAACAATAGGGAAAGAAATCAGGACAGGCACCTTCCATGTTAGCATAGTTTCCACACAGAGGGTGATCTAGCCTCTATAGCAACTTTTGGGGGTATGCCCAAGAATAGAAGTCGCTCACACTGCACCATCTCAACACTAAATGCCAAAGGATCGTTGACTTAAAACAGCCCAGTCCAAACCACACTTCAATACTTGTGAAATAGCAACTGGCTTTCACGGCCTGATTTTCCTGCTCAATAATGATTAACATTTATTTAGACTGAGGTCTGGTTCAAATACTTGCAATCTTGCACGTCTCATCTCCTCTGTAGTTCTTTTACAGCCCAGTTCCTTCCCCCTTGCACAACTCAGAGGACCTCCAGCTTTGCCCTGAGCAGACGCCCTACCTCCTCTGCACCTCATTGCGCCCAATGTCATAAGAGCACCACCGGTCATGAGGAATCCTCTCCCTCTCCCTGGAGGCCCATTCTGGAACAATGACTCCCACGAAGGTCCAAGCTCAGCCCTTAAATTAGAATTAGGCATGTTGAATTAAATCTGGGTTTGGCAAAGAAGTCATTCCTGCCTCCCTATTTCAACTCTCCAAATAAACAAAGAAGCCATCCAAGGCATGTGATTCCTTCTTGGCGAGACGGCAGGGTCACTGGCCATGCTTGTGAATCAGAGGTAGCATCCGGTCCTCATCCAGCTGGGTTTTCCCAGCACAACACCCACACACCAACTTAATGATCAGCCATTATTCTTTCCTCCCTCCTCTCATGAGCCCTCTTTAGTGAAGTCTGGAGTTATCCCACAGATGCTTGCGTTGGAGCAGATGATGTGAAACACAGATGAGAACAGCATGCCTGAAGAGAAGGAAGTGATCGGATTGACAATGAGGGACTTCCGGGGCACATGTGGTACAGGGACATTGTTATGTCCATAATGCCCTTGCAGGAAGTGTGCAAAGGGATCAGAAAGCAGAAACGAGTCAAGAGACAGTGTCATGGCATGTGTCTACTCCCTGACTCAGAGTAAGCCAGTCTCTGAGAATATCTATACATAGGTCTTACAGATAAGGAACTCTAACACACACACACACACACACACACACACAGAGAGAGAGAGAGAGAGAGAGAGAGAGAGAGAGAGAGAGAGAGAGAGAGAGAGCGCCTTGGGACTCTCTCATGCATGTTTATCATGAGCAGAGTTTAGATGGAGACCGACCATCAGGTTGGGGGAGTAAGCTCCATGGTACAGCTGAAGAAAAGAAATGCCATTAGCATTCAGAAAAGTCTTCCTTGGGCTGAGCATTGGTGGCGTACGCCTTTAATCCCAGCACTCAGGAGGCAGAGGCAGGGGGATCTCTGTGAGTTTGAGACCAGCCTGGTGTACAAAGTGAGTTCCAGGACAGGCTCCACAACAATACAGAGAAACCCTGTCTCAAAAAGCCAAAAAAAAAAAAAAATCTTTCTTGGACTGGGAGACGGCTCAGTCAGTAAAGCATTTGGTGTATTAAGTATGAGGTCCTGGGTTCAGATCCCTGGCCTACCAAAACTAAAAGCTGGTGTCCTCACTTGTATTGCTGTGATAAACACCATGACCAAACTCAACTTGGGGAGGAAAGGGCTTCTTCGTGTTTACAGTCTATAGCCCATCATAGAGGGAAAGCAGGGCGGGAATTGGAACAGGAGCCTGGAGGCAGGGACTGAAAGCCGATGCTATGAAAGAAGGCTGGCTATTACTGGCTTGCTCTCTACGGCTTGCTCAGAGTGCTTTGCTACAGCACCCAAGAGCACCTGCCAATGGGCGACACCGCCCACAATGGGCTAGGATCTCCCACATCAAATATTAATCAAGAGAATGTTCCACAGCCTTGCCCACAGGCCAATATGATGAGTCAATTCCTCAACTGAGATGTCATTTTCTTAACAGGTTCCCATCAAGTGTGTGGCTGACACACTAGATCGGGTGCAGATGTTGCTGGAGACTCTGCTTTCTTGCATCCTGCTTGGAAAAAGTAACCGGCACACTGGACAAGGGAGCATAAGCCTATAATACCAGTGCTGTCAATTATGCCAATTATTATGCAAATGATGTCCTTCTGCTCAAATGTGTCTCTGGAAACAAAGGGACTGAACTGGATCTGAGGAGTATGGATGGAAAATAATCCTGTGGTTTAGGTAAGTATTCCCAAAGGTCTAGGTGTCAAAGGTGTGGCCCATAGCCCCTGGTGCTGGGGGGGCGGAGACTAGAAGACGGAGCCTGGAATGAAATATTCAAACATCTGGAGAACATCCTCAAAGGGAACTGTGGGAACACAGCCTCTCCCATCTCTCTTTGTTTCCCAGATGCCTTGAAGTGAGCCACTTACTCCACCAGCCACCCCAACCAACACAAGTCCTCCTTCACATAGGTCCAAAGACAACAGAGCATGGACTAAAACTTCCAAAGGTGAGCCAAAGTAACTTTTTCCCTCTTTTTAAAGTTAATTGCCTTGTAACAGCCATGCAATTCTGAATGACATAAAAATCACAAAGACCACAAATTAAAGTTCTAAATTCGACAACTTAGACCCTCTACCTTGTCTCCAGGGACTAGGCATGGAGATGACAATTCCTTGACGTAAATATTTCCTGCCTTAGAATGGAGAGCAACATAGGTGTCTGTCATTGGAGCATCACTTACAAGGCAACCCACAGTAATTGTGAACTCCTACTCCGATGATGTCTGCATTGACACTCGAGATCTGGTGCAGACATTTCTGGGGGCTGTGATTTCCTACCTCTCCCTGGGAAAAACATCCACACAATTCACAGATGCCTTCATTTGTTATGGATCCACAGTTTCAGTGCTGGGAAAAATCTCTTTGGGACCAGCAGCACCGCGCGGTGAGTGAAGCGCTTGCCTCCCAAGCACGAAGACCTGAGTTCAGTCCCCAGACCCCATGTAAAAATGCTGGGTGAGATACTAGAGAGATGGCTCCGTGGTTAAGAGCACTTGCACTCCAAGGCATATGGGTTTGGTACCTAGCACCCATATCATGTGTCTATTAAGCCCATCTCCAGGAGACTTGGCATGTATGGCCTCTGCTGACACCTTCATTTATGCACACATGCAGACACACACATACACATAATTTAAAACAGCAAGCACTAATCTTGCAAAAATGCTGGGCTTGTCAATATATATTAATTACCCAAGAGATTTTTTTATATGACCCTGGGTATGTAGGTATGTTGAATATGTATACAAATCACAAACATTTGGTGATAATCACTACTTGTTAACAAGGAAATCAAATTTGCATATACATGAGATAGATATGCATATTCATTTTTCCAATAAAAACTTGACTGAATGTTTGATACCGTAGGATTTAGAGTTTATAGATACTTTGATTTTATAATTGTCAATACAGAGAATGCTTCTTTGCATAAATATGAAGTACACAATTGCAGAAGTATGTATAGGTCCCTCCAGGAATTGATGGGAATTCTGTCCTACTGGGCCCAAATTAATTCAGTGAAGTTTTTTAATGAAATTAAAGTCAGAAATCAAACTGATTTTTTAAATCAAGGTTTCTAACACAATGCAATCCGAAGACACACCTTAGACTCTGAGGAATAAGCGCATGAAATTATTAAAGTCTTTATTTTCTGTTGCTAAACCATTATGCTTCTCTAAGAGCAGAAAACTTTGCATATTCCATAAAAACATGGCAGTTCACAGCATGCATTTCTGGCATATCAGTATGCACAGTGCTGGGCGTGTATGTTGTGTATTCAGAACCAAGATTGCAGTGAAGTCAAGCGATGCAGTATGGTGAGGCCTGCCAGAAACATCCTGGGTTCATCGTGTACTTGATTTTGAAAGCCTTGGTGCATTTTCTGTTACTGGAAGGAAATATTTGAAACTGTAATTGACAAAGAGTAGATGTGATTTGGCTGATGATTCTGGGGGCTAGGACACCTGAGAGATGGTGCAGGTATCTGCTTGTCATCTGGTCAGGGCTTCCCTACTGCATCATAAGGGGGCAGAGGATCACATAGTGATACTGGGTAAGCCTGTACTCTCTCCAGTCTCTCTTCCTGTTCTCATAAAACTCCCAGGCCCATCATGGGGGGGGGGCTCTTTCATAATGACCTTATCTAATCTCTCCCCTAATTCCAAATACCATCAACATCTGAATTTGGGGATAAAGTTTCAACTTGAGTTAAAACTATGGGCACTAGAGCAGTCATTACTGATTATACACTTCTGTCCAATGAGTAGGCACTTGGCTCAGTAGGTTCCCAGCATCCACATAGTACGTTTTCATGTTAATCTATGCCTGTGGCAGGATTGTCTGGTCACTCTTCCTGAAGGGTTCTCAAGCAATGAAGACTGTGTAAACAAGCAGGAGCCAAACTTGCTGCCATTTCTGGGTGACATGTGCCTGTAATCTTGGAAGGATCAGCCTTGGCTACACAGAAAGGCTCTGTCTTTTAAAAAAACAAAACAAAAGGTCAATGAGATGGTTCAGTGTGTAACACACTTGTTACTAAACTAGATGACCTGAATTTGATGGATTCACAGGATAGTAGGAGAGGACTGCCTCACACAAGTTGTCCTCTGTCCTTCACACATGGCATGTGTGTGCCTGCAAATAAATTAATAAGACCAAGACGATAAATGTAATTTTTTAAAATCTGCGTCAAAAAAATAAAACCAAATTTTAAAAAAGTTTCTCTAGAGAGCAGAAAACTAAAGATGGGGATAGAGACTAAATGTGTACTTAGTATAGATAGTGATGTTTAGTGCCTGAATCTATTCGTGTCTACACCCAAGCCCCTAAGCTTTTCCATAGTGGACTGATGATGTTGGTGGAGTCAGGTATTGCATCTACCCTGTGCTGCCTGAAGCTGTCTGCATTGTACTTCTATAAGATGAACTGAGAGTCTAGACATAAACAAAAGGGAGGGCAAGATCTGCTTCACTCTTTGTTGGGTTGTCCTTCTGTGTATATGTTTCTCTTATTGGCTGATGAGTAAAACACTGTGTGACTAGCAGCCAGGCAGGAAGGATAGGTGGGGCTGCCAGAGGAGGAGAATTCTGGGAAGTGTAGGCAAAGAGGAGTTGCGATGTGAGCTCAGCAAGAGAGAATGCATCAGGCATTCTCCAGTAAGCCAAGACCACGTGGAAATACATAGATTAATAGTAGTGGGTTAATAATTAAGACAGAGCTAGCCAATGAGAAGCCCTAGGCACTGGCTAACAATTTTGTAATTAATATAGCGTTTGTGTGTTTATTTGGGGCAAAATGGCTACCGGGCCAAGAATCTCATGTAACAATTCTTTCTCAATCCCTTCTGGCTGTCTTGCCTCCACCAACATCTTTTCTTCCTGTCTCCCAAGTTCTCATCATTACTTATGTTCTCATTCCTTTCCATCCAGACTCCCTCAGGCTAAGCTTGCCTCTGTGGGCCCAGGATCATTTTGCCCTTTCCCTAGGAATCATGGAAAACATTTGGCTTCATTGGTGTGTTCTGAACTCACGGTGTTTTAAGGTATGAGGCTCAGACTGCACTGTCTCCTCCTATGAGGGAAAACGGTAGCCCAAAACAGTCTGTGCTTGAGGAACTGGGGGTTCTAACAGTGTAATGGCTGTAGAGATATGAGGTTTCATTACCCAATGTGTATCCTGCTTCATGGGAAAGAGTCCTGTATTAAGTAGAAGTGTGCTGTGCTGATTTAGAGCAAATGCAAGTAAAGACAAAGCAAAAACTTCAAGCTCCTCTGGTGATTTAAAAAAATTTAACCAGGATTTTCCAGTCGATAAAGATAAATAGTGATTAGCCTTGATAGATGCTTGGTGAAAACATATAAATACATTATTAGGGAAGTGGAAATAAACATTTTCAGTGAATGTTTGAATAGTCATGTTACAAATCTTCTCATTTAATGATACAGAGCCAGAGTAAGAATGCTAAGAGAGAGACTAGTGAAAACTCTTCCTTTCAAAATACAATGGGTTGTCTTTGAAGAATACCTAATTGTTTCTATATGTACGCATAGCTTTAGAGCAAAATAAATTCATCAACCTAGCCATGGGATTGTGAAACATTCAACATATCTTCAAGAAGTAAATGGACATTCTACATCACGCCATTCCAGTGGGAAACTCATCAAAAGGGATCTCTGGAGGAGGTATCTGGCATGAGGCTAGCTGGAGGGGAACAAAAGACCCCCATAGCACTGATCAGTGAACTATGGCTCTGACTGGCCGAAGGCCACACTATAAAAGTAGCTGGGAACCGGGAGAGAATGATGGCTTCTCTTGCTGTCAATATCTTAATTACTGAGGTGTTTGGAGAAAAGTGAGAATGGACCTATTTCTGAAGAGCTCACCAGGTAGGAAAGATCCACAGTGCTGCCTGCCAAAAGAACCAAGAAGAAAACATCTGTGAGGACAGAGATAGCCATGCAGACAGGATTGAGAAAGCTCACTATAGAGTCAGCAGGGATTTCACTAGACCCTAAGATTAGTGTCTGTACATCCAGAATGTGATCATGAGCCCCTCACTAAGGCCTTGTCAAATATTCTTTCCTTGTTACAATGATAAAATATTCTGACAAAAGCAATTTAAGGGAGAAAGGGTCTATTTTGTCTCACAGTTCAAAGCATAGTCCACCACAGAGAGAAAGTACAGGCAGCAAGAACTTGTAGCCACTGGTCACATTGCATCCAAAATGGGGAAAAATCCAGTTCCTTCCTCTGGTTATACTGTCCAGGATCCCAGGCAAGGAGTAAACCCACCCACAGTGAGCTGTTCCTCCCATTTCTTCCCTCTCCCCCGAAGATAGGGTTTCTCTATATAACAATCCTGGCTGTCCTGGAACTTGCCTTATAGACCAGTCTGGCCTTGAATTCACAGAGATCTGCCTGCCTCTGCCTCCCAAGTGCTGGGATTAAAGGCAGGTGCTCAGTTAAAGTAATCAATATAATCCCACCCAAAGGCCCATCTCCCACATGATTTCAGATCCTGTCAAGCTGGCAACTAACACTAATCAACACAGACCTTAAATAAATGAGGCTCCCAACAATCTTTGCTTGTACTGCCTGTCACGGTTTATTAAAGTCTGAGTAATAGAAATCCTGCTCAACTTGGCTTGAAGAATCTATATGATTTAATGACTTATACTTGAAACAATGCTGTTCAGGCATTTGTTTTAGCTTTTGGCCATCTTTTCCTGGCATGTTGACTTCTTCCTTAGGTAGTCTACCCTCATGATGGAAGATTGATGTCCTTAAGATCCAAGATGGCTGCCATCAGGATACAAGATGGCCACTTTCAGAATACAAAATGGCCACTTTCAGGATCTAAGATGGCCCTTAGAAAATAAGATGATCATTTTCATGAAATAGGATGACAACCTCCATCATGTGCCTTACAAGGTAATTGCCAGTGATAATCAAGAATAGAGTTTCTTCATCCATATTTAAAAACAAAGGGATTCTGTTTTCGCAACACCAGCACACTCCAAACACAACTGTCCACCAGAAGCCTGAATGAGTCCCCAAAATTCTTGAGTAGTTGCTGATATGACCTGTCTAAAACCTTCCTATCTAAAACTCATGAGAGGATTGCTCATCTGGTCAGCAACAGCTTCAAAGACCTTTGTGAACTTTACTGAATAATTCCACATTCATGAACCTTGTTAATCCTTGCAGCAGCCTTTTGATATAAAAACTATCATCATTTCTGTTTTACACAAGTATGGATCAGAGATTTTATTAATTTTCCAAAGGTCCCAAGGGCAATTAGCTTGAAGAATACAGAGTCTAACTCTAGATTTCCACTCATCTTTAACAGTAGAACAAGAGAACTGTTGTGAGCATCTCCTTGGGACAGTGACTCTGAGGCCCCACAGGCACCTCAGTGACCCGTCCAGCAGGCCAGGTTATTTACTGGGTCTCGAGCGGGTGTCACCTGTAGGAGTCAAACGGGGGGAGAGAGAAGTGGAAGCCAAGCGCGTAAAGAAAGAGTCAGTCTGAGTTGCGTCAAGGCTTCGTTTATTAGCTAGCAAGGTCTTATTTTTATAAAGCAGTTTAGGCAGGGCGGGGGATGAGGACAGGGGCAATGGAAAGTACCGGGCCCGGGTACAGAAGGAAATATTTCTTATAGAACACCTTATGTTTAGCCTGTTCCAGGAACCAATGTATGCATGACCAGTTTGTTCATAATAACTTTTCAATTCCAATTGTTTCAATTCAAACTGCCACTTAGTTCTGCTACAACTTAAAGGTCTCTGGGGCTCCAACATCTCCCCCCTCTCTAATAAAATCTTAGGCAGATTAATTTGGGATCTAGGTGCCGAAGTGTGCGACTAATAACTGACGAGCTAATAGGTCTTTCAAGACGAATCTTAAAATCCGGCTGAGCCTAAGCTGGTGCAATGGAAGCAAGTCCTCAGCGTGCAAGGCCTCAGTGTCAGGGATTTCTTCGCCTCACCTGCTCTTGTCAGAATCCAATGAGAGAGACTGAGCCTGTTGGAAGATCGTTGCTAGGTTCTTACCCGTCATTGGATCATCCTCCCCACCAGGATCATCCTGTCTTAGGTGAATCTAGACTTAAACGACTCTTCCGTCACTGACTTTCCAGTCTATCGTCTCATGGGGTGCACAAGATTTAAGGCACCATGGGGATAGATCTTAAAGGGTCAAATTTTTAGATCTGAAAGGCCAAATTTAAAACTTCCTCCAGAATTTTCGTCCTGTACCCGGACCAGAGGGGACTGTAAATCTAAGGTGGGTTTGAGGAGGGGTTTTTCCAGAGGAATCATGGGTAATAGATTCAGAAGCAACATTAGAAGGGCGTTCTTCTTTTTCCAAAGTTGCCAGCCAAGTTTGGGCTGAGCGACCACTCTCTAAAGCAATCATGGCTTGTAATATAATTTTCTTATCCCGAGAAGTTTGGGCTTTCAGGCGGCAAATCAGCCAAAAACATAATACACATCCTCCTAGACAACAAACAAGGAACAATCCCACCCCTATCCATTCCTTAAAGAAGGAAAAGGCAGAATAAAGCCAATCACTAAATTGTCCAAGGGTAATGGGCTGTACACGGGTATTATTTAGAACAGCAATTTGAAATAATTGTTCCTGTAATAATATTTCTCCTTCTAGGGACCAGTTACCTGCTAAGTATTGGCCAATTCTTAAACTTTCATTTCTGGAATTATTAAAAGGGAGGGAAGTAATGCATACATGCTTCTGATATGCAACACAGCCGATTTGTACTAAGCTAGCTAATTCATCAATTTGGGTCTGTACAAAATCAATCCTCTGATTGGCAGCTATAATCCCTGATGTTATATGTTTATTAACTCTGGATTGTGTAACCAAAGCATCTGCTGTTTTGCTAACAATCTCATTAATAGTGGATGCCGTCTGGACCTGATTGGCCATGGCTATTCCGGCCGTAACAGCAGCCGTGGCTGACAGAACAATGGCAGAAACGATGGCAGCAGTGATCCCAAAGTCACGTCGCTCTCGAAGGAGCAGGGTGACAGGAAAATGGTTTGGGTCTGTTTCTACAGGAAGAGGTACAAACGTGGGTATTCGTAGTACCACTGCCAACCCAAAACTACCATTCCAACATTCAGACAGAAAACATTGTATTGAATCATTTTTGCAATCAAGCTTAGTAGACCCCTTATTATCATTAGAAAGTAAAAAAATAAAGGGAGGGAGTACACACACTGCAGCTCCTGGGAGTGTATGATTGGCTATCTCCTGCTCCCGATTAATACGGAGCCTTCTGTCAAAACCCTTTTCTTGGACTGTGCCAGTAACATTTAGCAACTGGAATGTGGTAGGTTGTAAAAGCGCCAGGGCAGAAATGTCTGCAGTTGCACCCAATTCATTAGACAACAGCCATTGAAACCAAGACCATCCCGCTTGAACGGAGGAATCAATGTTGTTACTATTATAAATATACTGCTTCATAGATGGGGATAAGGAAAATCCAAAAGAGACTTGTTTTTGTTCCCAGGTCTTGGCCTGGCAAGCAGTAAAGACTGGTGGAAATGAAAACTCAGTAATACAGTGGGGTGATGCTTTAAAAGCTATTGCATTGTTGTTGCTATAATTGCTCGGCCTGGGCACCAGGGAGCTAACTCTCACGGCCAATGTGGTGACATTTAACTTTGATCCTTTGGTGCTCTGTCCAGAGCCCTCTGTTGCCCCCGCGGCTATCAGCGCGAGCGCTGCACTCAATATGTCCACCCCCACTCTACTATCCACCAAGGGATCCTTCCAGTTAGTGAGATTATCCCTTTTGAGTCTGATGCAAGGAGAGCCTCTTTTAAGAGAAAAGCACATAGTACCATTTAACTGGATACTGGTTAAATTAAAACTCTCAATCTTTTGTTCTGGGGCGGGTATGCAGGGCGCATCCATATCACAGGAAGTAGAAAACAGGGTAGGTAACAGTGAAGAATTAAAATGAACTGGCATGGGAACTGGCCAAGCCCTGGTCACTGCCCAGAGCATCATATTTTTAGCATCAACTATCCAGGCTTGTAGTATAAAAATCATCATCCAATAAACAACCCTCATTTTTATGATAATCTCTCAAAGTTTTACCCTTAAACTAGACAGCACAAGCGTTCCTGTCCTGATTCAAGACACCGTAACCAAAAGCAGCAGCAAGATACTACTATAAACATTAAAAATACAAAAAGAACTCCATATAAGGGATCCAATCCAAAGAATATCTTCTGCACTTCTTGTTGGCCTCAGTTGTTTAATCAGCGGGTCAAGGCAGACGTTTTGGCTTGGGTGCTCAAGAAGATAGATATTACCAATCCTATCCAAAGCATCTCAGCAGCAACAGGTGCGTTTTTCTCCGGGCACATGACATCGCAGCCACCAGCAGCAGCAGAGCACCACCACGACTATTAATATCAGGATGAGTGTTCCATCTAAAAAGCTGATGTCTCCAAACAGGATCCTTTGCATCCTCTATCGGGCCGCTCCTACAACCATAAGATATTTTTTCCTCAGGGGGGGTTTCCCTGGGTCTTATCAGAGAGGGGTTTGATCAGCCTGGCTTTCCACATTTAAAACAGGTTCTTGTCATATTGGACCTTCCTGCAGATGACTGAATCATGGCCCCAATGGCCAGACTAATAGATTTTGAAAGTTTATGGTCAAGAGGATCAACATCATTACAAAGCCTGATCATACCGTGTAGGTCTAAGATTTTTACTTTCCCTCTCAATACAGCTTTGCATACCGAGTTGGCATTTTCAAAAGCCAATTGTTTTATAATAACATCATCAGCACCGTTTTCTCCTAATAGTCTTTCAGCCACCTCTAGCAGACGGCCCACAAATTGCGAATATGGCTCATTAGGCCCCTGGACTACCTTGGAGAGAAAGGTACCCAATGATGCTGCAGCTGGTATAGCCCGCCATGCCGCTAGGGCAGCGTGCATAACTTGATTGAGCAACCCAATGGGTAGGGTCTGTTGTTTGTTTTCCAAAGAATACTTGCCTTTACCTGTTAACTTATCTATGGTCCATGAGGTAGTAGCAGTATTACGTTTATTTATATCTGCCTGTGTCTCCAGTCTCTCCAACAACTCGGCCTTCCATGTAAGGAATTGGCCTCAAGTCAACGCTGATTGCGCAATTTTTTCCCATTCAGCAGGGAGGAGGCTTCCGCCCTGCCCCAAGCCTTCCAGAATGGATAGGGTAAATGGAGCCGTGGGACCATAATTTTTTACTGCTGAATGGAGCTCCTTTAAATGTCTAATTTTTAAGGTCTTAATAATGCGTGATCCTGAGCTAGTAGGAGATGTTACTGGGTCTTTCTCCTCATCAGATTCAGGTGGCTCACTGTCTTCCCCCTCTTCATCTGCTGAGGTGGCATCTGCGGCCGAGTCAGCAGGTGTTTCTGTCTGTCTAGATCGAGTAACGACTGGAAAAGCAAGAAGGGTTGATTTTGACTTCATTTTATTTTTATTTATGCCTTCTAATTCCTGTGGGAGTTTAGTCCCCGCAGGGTAGAACAGGTTTAACTGTAAAGCAGAAACCTGTGAGGTTAAATCTTGCAGTTCTTGTTGGAGGGAGAGGACGCCCTGTAATTGGGATATCTGGGCACTTAACACATTCTTAGAGGCAACCAGATGAGCAACCACCGAGGGAGAGGGCTGTATAGTGGGGACCTTATTATCCCATGGCTGGGGAGGGACGGAGGAAAAGGTGCTGGAAACATATGGAGGGGAGCAAGACCAATGTAGTCGTCTTGAGTCCCCTGGGCGGGTATTTACCGGTGCTGCAAGTGGAGGGTTGTATCTCCCACTTTCATATTTAGCTGCTTCTTCCTCTAAGTCTATTTCTTCTGAAGGATCTATCCAGTCATCGCCCTGTTCTTTATGAATTACAGGATACAACGAGTTAATTGGTAACTTTGAGGGTTTCGGGATTAAAGGAGGGGCCAGATTCTTATCTGGGATTTTTTCATCAATGATAGAGGGGCTCTGAGAGGTGGCGGGGGACCAAGAGGACACCCTATCTCCTTTTATATTAACACTCTTTTTTAGATTATTTCCTTCATCTGCCCTAAGCATCTTGTCCAATAGTGGACTTTCATGATTATTTTTCTTTTCTCTATTATCCTCTCTTTCATTGATAAAATCCTCTGCCAGGGCCAGAAGATGGGAGACCTTTCCCTCTGAATCTGATTCTTTTAAAATATCTCTGATAACTCCATAAAAACTGAAAAATGATTCTGGGACTTCCCTTCCTTGTCTAAGAACCTCATTTATATCTTTCCCTACTTTATTCCAAGTAAGGGGATGAATATCTGGCCCACTGAGGACCAGCCATGGACATATTTCCTCAACATAACAAAAGAAATCTAATAAATCCTTTTTCTTAACTCTAATCCCCCTCTCCCTTAGCATGCTCTTTATCTCCTTAATAAAGAGGGCCTCTTTAGAAGCCGTATTTCCCATGACTCAATTCTGGACAACACACTTACCTCCAGTCGCTGCACGAGCGATGCAGACGATCTGTACCCAATCGACCGGTCAGTCTTGCTGCTTCAGGTTGTCCTGTGCCCACTGCTTCTCGAGCCCCACGTTGGGCGCCACTTGACCCGTCCAGCAGGCCAGGTTATTTACTGGGTCTCGAGCGGGTGTCACCTGTAGGAGTCAAACGGGGGGAGAGAGAAGTGGAAGCCAAGCGCGTAAAGAAAGAGTCAGTCTGAGTTGCGTCAAGGCTTCGTTTATTAGCTAGCAAGGTCTTATTTTTATAAAGCAGTTTAGGCAGGGCGGGGGATGAGGACAGGGGCAATGGAAAGTACCGGGCCCGGGTACAGAAGGAAATATTTCTTATAGAACACCTTATGTTTAGCCTGTTCCAGGAACCAATGTATGCATGACCAGTTTGTTCATAATAACTTTTCAATTCCAATTGTTTCAATTCAAACTGCCACTTAGTTCTGCTACAACTTAAAGGTCTCTGGGGCTCCAACACCTCAGTAGCTGTGTCTTGAACCCCACCACTGGGTTTCTAGGAAGCTTCCACCCTGCAGCTCTGTTATGTGGCATGGCAGAGATAGGGGTAGGCCCACTGCTGGAGGACCTGGAGCTCCTCCTCAGCTGACTTTGGCCTGAGAACTTCCAAGTTTAGGATGCATTTACTATCATTCTCTCAATTCCCTAGACATGAGATAGCTCTTCCCATTAACTCTCCAGTCAGTCATCAGATCCTGTAACAGGTCTCCAGACACCATCCCGGAGACCATTCATACCTTCATCTCTTGTGACACTGAGAAATCAGAAATGACAACACTAGACCCTATAACAAAATAATAAGCATAGCTAGGATTTCTTATCACCTGCCCAATACCAGACGTCTGTGATTTCCCACTTTCATCCATGCTGACTTCGGTGCGTGCTAGGGTTAGTTGCTACTCTTAGTTCTGCTTCAGAGGGAACTAAGACAGACTGAGACTAAGTGAGAAAGCCAGGCCATTAGCCCTGTCACTCCCTCAGCCTCCTTGTACAACCACTGCTCCATGGTGCCAAGTTTCAAGAGCTTCCTCCAGCCTTCGGGGACATGCAGGGGACCCCAGCCTGCTCTTCTCAAGTAAGCTGGTCTCTTTCCGTTGTATAGACGCCACAGAATTTACATAAGTTGGCATTGCCAAAGCTCACTGGTGCCATCATAGGAGATGCCAGGCCCTGCCTCTCACAAACACTACCCCATACATATCCCCCACATTGCCCAGGAGCTTCAGATCTGTCTTCTCTCACAGCAGTACAGCAGCCTAACTACAAAGCCCTGACATTCAATTAGCCATTTCTGTGTTGTTAGACATCAGAGCAGCTAATTCTTTGCCATAATAAATGATGCTATAAGGAGCATTTCCATGTACACAGCTTTCGCTTTGGCAGTCAAATTGAAATTACCTGTAAGCATAAAGATAAGGACAGAGGCCTTAGTGCCTTCTCGGCTGACTGACTGCCTGTCATTTGAGGTGAGGAAGGAAGGTCTCGTGTCCTCTAATGAGCCAGCCCATTCTTCTACCTGCTTCCAGCTGTCCCAAAATATGACACACGCAGGTACCTAGACATGCAGCCCTGAAGCCTGCTCCCCAGTGTGACTCACACTACCACACTCACTCCTCTCTCCTTCTGACCGGTCCCATTGCCCCCAGCGAAAGGCTGTCAGATATCTAGCACAAGATAGCTAGCAGACCTCTCTTTCCAAGTCAGGTGGCCTGGGTATGACACTCTGTTCCCATCTTAGTCAGAACAATGTTTATGGATGCCTACTCTTTTATTATTATTATTAATTAAATTTCATTTTATGTGTACGAATGTTTTCCCTGCATGTATGTCTGCACACTGTGTATATGCTTGGGACCTTGGAGGCCAGAATAGGGTGTCCAATCGCCCTCCTTGAAACAGGAATTATAGACAATAGTGAGTTACCATGTAGGTGCGAGGAATCAAGCTCTAGAAGAGCAACAATGCTCTTAGCCACTAAGCCATCTCCCAGCCTTGGCTGCCTCTTCTGAGAGGAGGGTGGTGCCTAATGCATCGCCATCTATTGAATGAGAAAATGAAAGAACCCTCAGAAATACACAGACAGGCAAAGGACCTGATGCTTAGGGAGGTCTGATAGCTTGCACAGACCCCAAAGCCATTCAGTCAGGGACCATTCTCAGGCCATGTCCTTGTGGCCGCAGGACTTGAACCCTGACCATTCCTTTTCCCCATCTTCTCGCTTGCTACTTATCTTTTCAGATGTGACATACTGTATTCCTAACACCCTGGCTGATTTTTACATCTTTATCAAAATATATCTGGTCTTTCAACAGCCATGTAGAATTGAATCTCACTCATCAGGGAAACTACTTTCCAAGCTGACAACCAGAAAAACCATCACACTTAAGACCTAACTAAGAGTCTGCACCCAAAGATTGTTTTGTGCTATTTGTTGCCCAAGACATGTGTGCATTTGGACACATGGACATGTGTGTGTTCACACATGGACACTTCAATGGCAAATGGCAAAAAAGAGAGAGAAGAGAAAGTTCTGCTACACCTAAGGGAGTGTTCCTAGCCTCAGACTCAACACATGTTTCTAAGACTCCATTAGGATCCCAAATGGAAGAAGAAACCAACTCCAGCGGCTGTGTGGAAAGCTGTTCATTTGGAAATTAGGCTTCTAAGATGACCTTACACTAGGATGTCTTTCCAAACTTACGGCATTTGAAGAGTTTACACTCACCTATCCTACTCCAGAGGATTACTTTAAATCAGAAAACAGAGAGCCATCTCAGTCCCCATCCTATCCAGCTGTGGCCTCTCTCAGACCACAAGAATCTTCAAGCCAGGCTTGTGGAAGAGAATGCCAGGACTAGATACTCTATGTATCTATGTATCTATCTACCTACCTGTCTCCCTATCTATCTCTCTATCTCCCTATCTCTCTATCTATCTGTCTGTCTGCCTGTCTGTCTATCATCTCTATCTGTGTGTGTGTGCACATGTATACACATATGTGTATACGTGTATATGAAGGCCAAAGACCAACTTCAGGCATTGTTCCTTAGGTTCTATCCCCCACCCCCACCCCCACCCCTGTTTTGAGGATGGGTCATATCACTGGATCTCACCACCTGGCCAGGGAGCCCCAGAGATTCTCCGGTCTCTGCCTCCCCTGAGATGGAGTTACAGTGTGTTCAATTATGTCTAGCTTTTTTTTCTCGGGTTCTGGGTCTCAAACTCAGACCTTCAAGCTCACAAGGCAAGCCCTTCCCCCACTGAACCATCTCTCCAGCACCATAGCCTGTTTCTTATTCATCCTGAAGCCATCCATCCTCGGAGTCAAGTTTTCCTAAAGCTCACACCAGACACAGACAGTGACCTTGACAGTGCACGAGTCGATAGTTCAGTTCAGCCAGCTGAAGTGGCTAGTGCACTTGAACCATTCCTCAATCCTCTTCCCCATGCAATCCCATACAAAGTATAGATCCCTTACTGAGCCTCATAGCACACACTTTATAAAAAAAAAAAAAAAAAACTGGCACAGCCACTATCTGGTGACCCTGAGGAGTAGTCAGAAGCTTGTGGCTCTCGATCAAGGACACTCATCCTTGCAATGGTTCTTTTCACCAGTGGGAAATATTTCATTCAGGAATTGGGGTCATAATTTGTCGCACCTGCTGTGCGGCCTGCATCCGAGAATGTAGCGAGGTGGTCGGGATAGATGACACAGAGACCGGTCGGTTGCTTTAAGAAAACTTTAATCTTCCCAAGTCAGCTTAGGAGTTGACCCCAGTCCGCTTAGGAGAGCTCTCAGGCGAAATCTCAGGAGAAGTCTCTCCAAGAAAAAGGGCTTCCCTTTTTAAGGACTTTTGCCATCCATTTACATACCATTCTTTCCACTTCTCACCCTCCTGGCTGGTGGTTTAATCTCCGGCCCCAGAATCGGGGAGACACCACAGGGGGCAGGAAGAGGCATCTAGCCATAGGAGGTGTGGAAGGCATGGTATTTCAGTGAGCCAGCCCTTATCTGAGCCCTATCAAGCTTTAAAGCACTGAATTGTTTTCAGTAAACATTACATAGATGCCTGCTCCCAGGCCGAAGGGGAAGTGGGTTTCTGCTCAAGGTCTGGTGTCCCCACAATTCACCCCTTTTTATTTTTAAATGAGGCACTCCTGTCTTAGGTCAAGTAGGGTCACCCTCCCTGGCCCGTCTTTGGGGGACCTTGAACCCCTGTTAGGTGGGAGTGGGTCTTCCCCACAAGTTGCCCGTCATTGAAGTAGCCCCACCCTTAAAATCATTTGTAATAAGGCTTTATGGCTATCGGGATTGCCATGGGCTAAGGCACTTTGAACTCAGCATGAAGCCAGAATGCCTACTGCCACTGTTACCATTCCTAGGACCCCCACTGACTAGCGCCTCTCTGTCACCTGCCCATCCCCCGATCTGGGCCTTAGCATTCTACCACCAGCCTTTCTTTGCTACAAGGGTGATTTATAGTTACAATTTGCCGGTCAAAACAGTGATAAAGTTTACAATTATTTTAAGATCTACTTAGGAAAGCATTAGAGAGTGCGCTTGCACAGATACATTAGGTACAATCATTGATGTTACACATGTAGCATTATAAAAATATGAACAAGAGGCTTGTTGCACTATTTACAGGGTACCAATTTGTTCCTGTGGTGATGTAGTCTGTTGATTTAATGTCAGTAGTATCAGCCGAACATGCAACCCGAGTCAAAGTCTTTTTGTCGCACCAGGACAAACCACATTTCTCCAGAAAAACACTGTGATTCCAGAAACAGGAACTACCGAGTCTGATATTTCAAGTGACCATGTCCTGTTCAAATACTGAAAAAAGGCTTTTGCCATTCATCACAATCCATACCAATGTCTAAATGTTAAATGGGTCCTTTTTCCCCCAAAGGGAAAAGCTGGCAAAATGAATTCTGTTGTTTTAAGGTGTATCAAAGGCTAGCTGCTAATCTTCCAGTTTTGTTGGCTTTGGGATGAAAACTCACGGGTCCAAGAGGTTGATGTAGCAAGCCTGATGAGAAACTGGAAATCTCGAACTGACTGTTTTATTTCTTTCTCGGGCTGTAGATTTGATGACATCAAGGGTCAGGAACACTGATTTAGGAGATCTCGAACTGGCTTGAGCAGGCTCCCACGGTCTCAGGTCCAGTTTTTCTGCTCCATGCATCTCACCAGATGTTGTGACCGCTACTGAAGCTTTATTCTTTTCCTGTAAGAAAACACAAACATGCCCTCGACCCCAAATTAGGGTCTTCTCTACTGTCTAGTGTATGGATGTTTCCATTTGGCCTGAGTAATAGTTATTTAACTTTCATTATGTCAGAATCTGTCTGAAGCAGATTCCTCATTGGCATTTATATTTTATAAATATTTAAATGAGGAGTGGATTATTTAATGAATCATGTGGAAACTGGGGACATTACTCCCTCTTATTTTTAAATTTTGTTTGAACTGTTGAAGTTGGACCATAACAGTAGAAGGATTTGTCTACCCTCCTTAGTCAACTATCTAGGTGAATTGGGATCACTATTTAAAATATTAGTAGATGTCCTTTAAAAGGGACATAACCATTAAGTACCTTTGAGAATCATTTAAGGATTGTTAACTATACTATGTCCCAAATAGTCCTTTTTTTTTTTTCTAACCTGTAGCTCTCACTAGCTGACAAGGCCTCGTTTGCATCTGAACTGACAAGGCCTAATTTGCATCTACACAGACACCTTTGGGGGTGGGGGCCTGCCAAAGCGGCAGGACAGTTCCCTGAAAAAACCTCTCTTTCTCTCTCTCTCTCTCTCTCTCTGACTGGCTCTGAGGGCTTAACTTGAATTTTTTTGTTAAAATATTAACCGACTGACTGGATGTTTCTTTTGGCTATATCTAAATCGATTTAGGTAGTTTTTAACTGTTTGAAGGGATTTAAGTATCCCTTTAATCATATCCAAGGCAATTAGAACAGTTGCTTTTGTCAACATTCACGCATTTACATTTCACACTTCATACATACTGACGTGGCCACGTCCATACACACAGACCATGCATACATATCTCTCCTTGCCTAGGTTATGATTAGTTTGTTGAACTGAAACGTCTTTAACGGAACAACTCCAGTCAATCTTTTCATTAAAACTAAAGGTTGAAAAAGTCCTGTATGTCCCTCGTCATTTCTTCATTAGAGAAGTTTTGAGCTACACTCAGGGGCTACAGCCATACCCACTTCTTGTAATTCTGTAGATGCAAAGTGGAAAGGCCAGGCTTTTGCCAAAAGTTTTTAGAGATGACTTACAAAATTCAATAACCTACCCTATATAAATGTAACCAAACATTTTTACTTTATATACCTTTGCCTTTTTTTTTTTACTGAATACTAATACCTCATTTATTAACTGTTCCCAATTTTTAATTGACCTTAAACTTGTATCAATAACCTATCCCATATAAATGTAAACATTTTTATATACCTTTGTCTTTTTCTTTACTGAATACTAATACCTCATTTATTAACTTTACCATTTTTTTTTACCCATCTTTAATCTATCCTCCCATTGAGGATGATCCTCCAATCCACCCTCCAACTGAGGGCAACTTTTCATCTTAGGTTCCCTTGACCTTTGTTAGGTGAGGGCCTAGACATTTAATCTAATCCACCCTTCAACTGAGGGTGATCTCTTAGGTTCCCTTTTTTTTTCCTGACCTTTTTTAGGCAAGGGCCTAGAGATTTAATCCAATACCCCCTCCAACTGAGGGCAATCTCTCAGGGTCCCCTTACTTTCCTGACCTTGTCAGGCGAAGGCCTGGAGATTTCATCCGGTACCCCTAGCTTGGTACCCCTTTTAACACATCCACATAGCCTTACTGGCTAGCCTTTTAGATCTCTCAGTTCCCCTTTACTTTCCTGACCTCAGTGGATCAGGCGAAAGACTGGAGATTTTTTATTTTATTTCTTATTTTACCCTTTTTTTTCATTTCTTTTTTTTTCTTTTTTTCTTTTTCTTTTTCCTTTTTTTTTTGAGACTGGGTTTCTCTCTATCCTTTTGGAGGCTTTCCTGGAACTCGCTCTATATACAAGGATGGCCTCCATCCTACCTACCTCTGTCTCTCGAGTGTTGGCATTAAAGGCATATGCCATCAACACCCGACTCTAAAGATCATAGAGAACATCCTTCCAATCTGGGACATTTAAGTCTCCCCCAGTAATGAACCATGGACTGGCATGTTCAATCCATTTTAAAAAGCCTTCCAAGGTTTTAGGCTTTACTGTAGTCCCATGTCCTTCAAGTAACTTTTTAACTTGATACTGTAATCACTTACCTCGCTTTCATGATCTCGGTGGGATCCTCCAATTGTCGCACCTGCTGTGCGGCCTGCATCCGAGAATGTAGCGAGGTGGTCGGGATAGATGACACAGAGACCGGTCGGTTGCTTTAAGAAAACTTTATCTTCCCAAGTCAGCTTAGGAGAGAGCTCTCAGAAGAAATCTCAGGAGAAGTCTCCCCAAGAAAAAAGGCTTCCCTTTTTAAGGACTTTTGCCATCCATTTACATACCATTCTTTCCATGATTCTGCCCTCTCTATGCACAAGATCAGCATGTGTCCAAATGTGAGCAGCCTGTGCTTTGTCATAGAAGAAAGGGACCTACAGGACCAGCCTCGGCAAAGCTACCATCAAGGGACAGATCAAACCTCAGAACACTGTACAAGTCAGATTCCATTTGTAAGAAAGTGTTACACATGTAGACTAGCATGAAAATGCACAGAGACAACTTCTAAGTTGGACAGAAAAAAACTTCCAAAAGGAGTAAGACTTTTTCTTATGAGTGGGGAGGCTGGGACCAGGGACCAGGGACTGGTCAATTTTTCTTCATGTTTCATACTTCCATAAGGATGGGAGATTCTGTGATGATTACATACAATTTTACAAACTGACACACAAAGTGATGTCCTTTCTGAGTCATTCAATGATTTTTAAATGCAATTAAATGCTCTTTTAGAACACAAAGGCAGAATGCACAAGAACATGGACACGGTCACCTACAAACCATTCAGAATGTATTGATCAAAGATAACTGCAACTCACTCTTTCCCCCCAAGAGGCCAATGTGGCATTTTAAAATGTATCATACCCAGCTTCTACTGTGGCATTCCAGTCACTGGAGTCTTCCAAAGGTGCTACAGAAAGCGGGGGGGGGTCTTTTAATTTTCCTAGATGAAGTGACACTACCTGATTCGTCAAGCATCGTTAAACTGTGGGAATGTACTTACTAACCAGTTCTGTTGACTTGTCTCAGCCTAAAGGACAAAGGGTGACACCAGCTGTATTAGTAACCTTTATTGTTGCTATAACCAAACACCTGAGGAGAAGCAGCTTATAGAAGGAAAGTGCTTATTTTGGCTTTCATTTAAGGGGAGACAGTCCACCATAGCAAGGAAAGATGGCAGCAGGAGGGGTCCAAATTTCCACCTATAGACAGGAAACAGAGAAGAGCAGGAAGTGGGATTGAGCTATGAAACCACATGGCCCACCATCAATGATTCACTCCTCCAGCAAGACTCCGTCTCTTAAAGGTTCCACAACTTTCCAAACAGTACAACGGCCTGGGGGCCAGGTGTTCAAATATATGAGCCTGTGGTGAACATTTCACATAGAGTCACAACATTAGAGCTTGAGTAGGGCTGGCCTTGAGCAGTATGTCCAGAAAGCTTCACAATTGACAGAACAGTGTCTCATGCTTCTAGCTCAGTCTTTATAGAAGCCATGTAGCTGCTTAGACAAGTACTTTTCACAGGTAGGGGAACTGAAGCTCCCATAAGAGACATGAGCTACCTAGGTTTGTGCCACTGGAACCAATCTGTGTTCCTTGCAGCCTGCTATCACAAATTTAAACCACAGTAGGAATAGTCTGGAGTCTCATACATATACCTTTGGGTGGAGGGATAAACTTTCAATCCCTTTGGAAAGATCTGGCGATATAGAAATTCTCATGTCCTCTGGCAAAGCAATTTCCCCAGCAAGAACTTACCACATAAATATAGCTAAGAATGAAAGTGAAATGTGAATGTCAATATCCATCCCAGAATCATTTGCATCAAGGGAGCATTAAAGATGACCACTTTAAGAGTTCATTTGATAGGCTTGGGCTTCCTCTAGAAGATGGTATAGAAGACAGTAACCTCTAGAAAGGAAGCTGGCATATCACTCGGGGCCAGTATAGAAGACCTAACATACACTCTATCCTGTTACATCTTGTTTTCAACCACTGTTTGCAGATGGCCTGCTTAAATCATAAAATGGAGGAAAGCCCTGCTCCAGGAACTCCAGCTGACTCCCACTCTTCTACAGCTTCCATGGACTGAGAGTGGCTTTGCTATCTGGATAATGAGAAATCCAGAAAGCAGTGAGCATAACCTCTTTCTGGACAGATGGATGGACGGGCAGGTGGAATTCTGTGAGAGCTGTAGCTGGACATGGATTCTCAGGTTGGAGCAGATCCTCATACAGATCCTGTATCTTGAACCTCTACCCAGCTTGTGACTTCCTTCTATAAATACCAACACTGACCTTCAGTTTGGACCTGTCTGTCTACATTGTCATGATGCTGTTTTGGAGAAGGCACATGAGAACACTTCTGGTTGTGCCTGACACATGGTGGGTGTGTCCGGTTCTATTGATGTGAACAGTTCAATTGATGTGATGTTAACTGAGATGCAGAGCCTGCACACTCTTGGGTATCCTATTGTTAGCATCCCCACAATGCTGTCTAATAGTTCACCATTTAGAAACTGTAATTCACTTGCCTGCACATTTAATCTGCTCCTGTGACCATGCATGTATGTACACACACACACACACACACACACACACACACACACACACACACTGTCTTGCACACAGAATGTTGTAGAGTGAAGTCTTCCCACCAGCCTGGTTTCAGAGCCGCATCAATCCCAAATGAACACACAGGACACTGTATTAATTATGAAGCTGTTGGCCGTTTGCTTGTTTCTTACTGGCTAGCTCTGACTTAAGTATTTAACCCGTAATTGTTAATCTAGATATTTCTCTTACCAGAGAAAAGGGTCCGGACTTCTTATTCCTCTGGCAGGCTACATTGTCTCTGACTCTGCCTCTCTTTCCCAGAATCCTCCATGACTCCTAGTCCCACCTATCTTGCTTCCCTATTGGCCAACAGTGCTTTATTCAACAACCAATAAGAGACAGATTTACAGAATTACATCCTCCATCACAATGTTATTTTTTCAAGCATCCTTGCTTCTGGGGTACAAACATTCAATCAAAAGAACAAGCTTTTGTTGGGATGGCTCAGCTAGTAAAAGCGTTTCTGCCAAGCTAATGACCTGTGTTCAATCCCTGAAACCCACACACTAAAAGGAGAGAACCAACTCCTGCCAGTTATACCTGAACTTCACATGTATGCTGTACCATGTGCATGGCCCCCAATAAATAAATGCATGTAATAAAGGAAGCAAATGTCATGGGGAATAAGTTTTTCCTAGTATGACAGTGATGTTCTGAGACACCTGACCTAAGAACAAAAGTCTGGAATAAGTGGAGGGATAGAGCAAACAGGAGCCTGGAAGGTAAACCAGGGTCCTCTGATATTATTGACACCCAAACCTTCTCGACTCGGACAGAGTTCTATAACGTTTAGTTCTATAACCTTTACACCATTATTTCAGCTAAATATAAAAATAGGAGGAGGCTGGTATTTCAAAAGGGTAAAGAGACATGACAACAAAATGTAGAAAGTGTTCATCTCGTCCTTTTACCCCCTGAGGAAAAATTGAGACAGGAGGTGGCCCTTTATAGAAAAAGACAGTACCCCCGTCTGCGGGCAAGAGCATTGAGCAATAAAACAAGGAAGCTTTGCTGGGGCTGGGGGGTCACAATGGCTGGCTGACACTGAGGAGGCAGCATTACCCACCCTGCCCATTTGTCCTCATTGCCAGAGTCATCAGTGTCCTGTGATGCCTGAGTGAATGCTTGACAAACACAGGATTCCATTCACACCTTCTATCTTAAATTGTACCTCATTTTGTTGAGAGCTCTAGGGTCACACTGCACCAGTGTAGACCTTTAGAGACTGGTCTTGAAGCCCCACTGCAGGCACCAACTGGTCTCCACTCTGGAAAGTTCTTAAGGCAGCTGCTGTGGTCAGTGTGAGGAGTATCATGTTGTGCTGACTACTATTGGATTCCCTCATGATGGAACCTTAGAGGCAACACTGCCATGGTGACCATAGAGACAAAAAAGTTGCCTTATGGGGGATCAATGGGAAAAGCACTTGCCATGCAAACATGAGGACCTGAATTTGAGCCCCAGAACCCACCTATATCTAGACATAGTAGCATGTATTTGTAATCCCAGCATTCCTAAGATGAAGGGGCATGTCGAGACAGTAAAACCCCCAGAAACTCACAATCCAGGAGCAGAAAACAAGAAAAACTACCTCAAACAAGGGCAACGTAGAAATAGATCACATAGGCCTAACATTGCTTAGCACTTGGCCTGTAAGGGGCGTGTTCTCAGGCTTTAGATACTGCTCCTGTGTGAGCCTCACAGCCAAATCGTGAGGAACAGAGTCCAAGTTCATTGATAAGGATTCACCTATGCCCTCACTGCAGGATTTTCAAGTAAGACTAGGGTTTGAATCTAAACCCATGGGGCAGCACATCAGATGTCCAATGGGGGATAAGGAGAGGGGAAGGAGGTGCTTGGGTCAGCAGAGCTGGTCTTCATCCTTCTGGTCTACCTACCAGGGTTATTCTTGATGTGGAGAAAGGGACACTTGGCTAGTCTTGTCCCAGAGTGGGAGGGTGGAGTACTTTTCAGCCTATGTTTCAGGAAGGGTAAAAGGGGGCATTTGGTCCATGACCCCATCTTGGGCAAGTTGACTGAGAAACTCTTTCCACAGGCAAGCAAAGGTAACCAAAACCCTTCGTGGAGTGAGGAGAAGAATAAGCCTGCCACATCCCATTCACTTTTGTAGATCTCATGATATCCTCTTATAAAGTTTGTCCCCACCTGTCCTAGTCAGCATGAACTGCCATTTTGACACAGCCTACAGTCAACTGAGAAGGGAATCTCAATTGAGGAATTGCCAGAAGAGATAATGTCTGGTATTTATTATAGTGATGAAAATCTGACTCAAACACATCCAAAGACTGATGGGACCCAAATTTCAGTCTACTTAGATTGTCATAGACAACTAAAACTTACTATTTCTAAAACTGAGCTGTTTTTGTTTAGATGGGATTTCCCAGGGTAGCCTGGGACTCACTGTCTATCCTGTGTTGGCCTCAAACTTATAGCAATCATCCTCATCTGCCTCCTGAGTACTGGAATTATAGGCCTAAATCACCACACTCAACTTTTTTTTTAACTTTCCCCACTCTCTTATATGTTTATTTATTTTGTGTGTGGATTGTCTTACCTGAGACCCAAGTATGGAGGTCAAAGGACAACCCAGGGGGAAGGTTTCTTCATTCTACCATGCAGGCTATGAGGATCAAACTCAGGTTTGCACTCTTATTGCTAACATCACTGACCCACAACTGTATTCTTAATTTCCTTCTGACCACAGACATCATACACACACACACACACACACACACACACACACACACACACACACACACACACAAACACACACTCCTCAGGACCTGTAGGTTTTCAGTTACAGAATACCTCATGTCATCTTCTGAAAGAGGAATGGCTTTGAGGCAAAAGAGACCCAGCTTCAAATCCTGGCACAGCATTTTAAGCAACTCTACAATACTTTCTAAAAGGTGTGTGTGTGTGTGTGTGTGTGTGTTTGTGTGTTTGTGTAGGCCAGAGTCTGTTCTCTCCTCCCTCCTTATCTTTGAAGCAGGGTCTCTCTCCTTTCTGCCACTGTGCTTCATATACAATCTGGGAACTCCCCTGTCTCTGTCTCCCACTCTGCTGCAGGAATGCTGGCATGACAAATGCCCAGCCAGCCTATTACACAGTTTAAAGGGCTCTAGCTCCAGCCCTTAGGCTGACACAACAAATGAATGTTCCTATTGAGCCACCCCCACCCCCATGTTGCATTTTTTGATAGACAAGTTCTTCAAGCACAAATAGATCAACAGTACCATGTGACAGGGTGTCCATTTGCAGTTGAAGGAGACTGTGAATGTGCAAACCACCATACAGTGTTCCCCATTGTCTGCCTTCATTTCTTTCCCTTTCTCTTCCTCGAAGGCTGCTATGGAGCTTGAAGCTGACCTCGGCTGCATCCCAGAAGGGTTTCTCCTACCCACCCAGACCATGGTGGCCTTTCTTCAGCTCCCCCAAATCTCAAAGTCCTAATTCATTCTCCTTGTCTGACTCAACCTCCACTCGGGCCTGCCCTGCCCTATTTCTTTCATCCTTTGCTGAGACTGTTTCAGCAGGGATGTGCTTTGAAATATAATCTGACCTACCCTCCCAGGCCAGGCAGTGGGAGCATAAATATAGAACACGTCCTGGGGATAGATACTTTTATAAGCATTAGAAATGTTAATTTGCATTCTTTGGGGACCTCAGAACCACCATTCACTGTGTGGATTTGTGAACTCCACTCCATGCTTTAGATCAACTATTGCCCCCTCTTCATCTGAGTGGGAGGCCTCTTGGCTTTTCACTGGGACAGGATGTTTCCCATTTCTAGACAGATGCAGATCAAAACTCCAACCGCTGGTATGTCAACTATGCCCTCATTTTTTAAAGTCAGTATTACCATCCAGTTGGGACTTGGTAGGCGACATTATTTGGCTTCCTGGCAACCTGGTAGAAACTACTTAGAACTGAGAAACAACCCCCTCCATATGAACTTCAGCAAACACTGATACCCACCCACCCAATCTCTGATCCTCTTTAGAACAAAACATCTTTTCTTCTTTTCCCTCTCATAGGAACTTTGAGAGCCCTGAATTCTAAAATGAGGAATCAAAGGGTTGCAGGTGTGTTGCTTTGTTGTCTCTGGGTATTTTGATTATTCCCCCTAGATAAACCAGAAAGATGCTAAAAGTAAAGGAATTGAATAGTGTACAGGTCAGTATTCTAATTCTACCATCAATCCAGGGCACTGTTTTAATTTTCATGTTTTCTACCAGAAATATTAGCTGTTCTTTTCCAGAGGACCAGAGCTTAAATTGACGTGGCATTCAAAGACCCCGACAAAAGAGTGGACATATGACATAACCACAAAGTACTTGTCAAATATGGACAAGACCTTGAATTCAAGCCCGCAAGAAATCAAAGACACCACCACCACCCCAGATATAGATACAGCTTGCCTCTGTAGATGACTGAAAATCAACCCCCACCACGTTAAGACCTAATGGGTAGGCTCCCAGTGTGGTGATAAGTCTCACAAATACCAAACCAGGGCCTGGACACCCACACCTCTGAAAGGGAGAAAGGAAAAAAAGGCAAGTAAAAGAGGCCGTGAGCACATCTCTGCTGTTGATACAGAAATCCTGGCTGCTGTTTGCACCAGATGCCAGAGCAGCATAAATCCAGA